ATAACTGTCTTCTCAGGCCTGAAGGAAAAGAAAAACATCTTAAGCTCAGAATTTAGGACAGCTTGAAGTGACTGAGTAAGTGCAGAGTTAATACTTTTGGCAATAAACATTTAGGTTGATTACAGCACTTTGACTTCATCAGAAAGTGACCTTTGAAGACACTAAATAAAACCAGTTACCGTGATGGAGTTGAAACAACACTGAAGTGGTATATTGGGTTAGGACTGATTGGCTTAAAAACATTCATGCTGCACTCTTTTTCATCTTTAGTGCTGGAAATCACTGCTTTCCTGTTGTCTGAGTGGCCTTAAACATTTACCTTCCTCCTGTGCTGATAGGATTCCTTTGTTTATTGCTGTCTTTTCCCATGGGAATGAAAGCAGATTTAGAGTTCAATGCTAAGTGTGAAGTGCCCTGCATTCCCATGTACTGTATAAAAGCTGAGGACACCACCGAGGCTTATGAAAGGCTGTTTGCTGCGACCACATTGCCATCAAGGCCTGTGTCTGATGGTATGGAAGTGTGACCTGATCCGATGATTTCTTTTTTTTTTTTTTTTTAAGATTAGGGTAGAAGAGAACAAAACAGTCCTCTATCAGGGAGAAATAATAGGTAACATTTCTAAATCTGCACCAAAATAAGAGTTTCTGTTTTGAGAAAATTTTACGGTTTAAGGTCAAGAAAAGATTTGTTGAAATTGAAATTACTGAAACTCCCCTCAGCTCATGGACATTCATAATGCATTTCCTCCTCATGTGTTTGGGTTTGGCAGTTGTTTGGGTGAAGCTCAGAGCAGGTGAGGTCAGACTGCCGTGCTGGGGCTCGTTGTTAGTTTGTAAGGAGGGCGGGGCTGAGATGCTGGATGGACACCGGTTGTGGTGGCTGTTTATCATAAACACAGCCTAGCCCAGAGAGGTCCATCTGCTTTGATTTTATTTAGTGATTCCCCCCAGGGACCCTGAGCTGGAGTGAGAATAACAATACTCCAGCCCATCTGTTCCTGTAGAAACCAGCCCAGGCTAAATTACCGCACACTACGAGCGGCTGGCATATGCTGTGGCATAAAGCTACAAGAGGGCATTGTATGCCAGCTGTTCTGTTGACAAATACTTATCTGGCACTTCTGAACTCAGCTTGCTGAGCTGGTTTCAAGTTTGACTCCAAACTAAACCGGGTAAGGTGTTGGAAAGGGGGAGGGTGGTGAGGAGCATGTGTAATACATGCTGATTTATCCCCGGGTATCATTTTGTCAGAGATTGTCTGGGGAATTGGGTCACTGAATGAAGATTTAATCTGAACATACAGGGCAGATAGTCGACTGAAGCCCGCCAAGTGGGCAAAACAGACAACATCTAATCTTTATTATCCTCCAGTTAGAATAACAGATTGTAATCATATTGTTATTGTTTAAAGCTGAGGGGATGATCTTCATCCAAAGACCTAAAGTGGGCTTGATCATTGTAATCCCATCTGTAAAGAATAGGATCTCTACAATGAGAAATATAAATGTATAAGAGGTTTAGGAGGATTCACATAAATATTCAAAATAACAGCTATTATCCTGACAGTATCCACACGCATCTGACCAGCAATTTTTCAAGGCTTGCCACTGATTCTAAATCGGATTCAGGTCTGTGCTTTGATGGATTTCACCTTTATATAAAACTCTTCTTTATAACTTGCTCTGAACAACTCTTCAGTCTCCCTCCTCTGTCACACTTTCCTTCAAGAACTGCTCATCATTTAACATCCAGCTGTTTATACCAACACTGACCAACTTCCTTTAAAATAAACAAAAACAAAACATATCCCTCCTGTCACCGTCATGCGCATTCCTCACAACACATTCCAAAAAATCCCAATTTAAATCCCTGCTTTTTTCATGACAGTTTAATCAAATATACTGAAAAAAAACTCAGTATATTTACAGGTGACATCTAAAAGTCAGTGATTGGACTGGAGTTTATTTGGTGATATTAGAATAAAAGTGGGAATGCTAACTTTTTATATAAAAGTGAAGACCATGTATAAATTTCCACACACGCTGTGTCAGTCTTCAATCATTTATGTGCTTACAAATCTTTGGTCACTACTGTGTTTTGGTGTATATCTAGCTATATCAGCAAGTAAAAGTAGGATAATTTATATATTCGGATATTTAACATTAGATAACCTTCTAAATGAAGCTTAAACGAAAATTAAATCTGGACGACTCTTATTAGCCTCACCTGAATCACCTTCGATGTCCCTTGTTCAGCTCCAGCCAATCAACTCGGGGGGCCGCACCTCGTCCACAGTCAATTACCTTTAAAGACCCCCTCCATCTAGCTCCTGGCCGTTTCTCTCTACTGCACATAAGCAAAATTTCACCCATCTTTCCCCCCATTTCCTAGCCTGGGTGCCATTCCGAACTTAGTCCCGCCCACAAAGTTTGAGGTCGGGAAGTTCGGTCTGGCTCTGCTCCATAGTAGCGCAAGTATTATCGCCCACTGTCAGGCGATCCAATCAAATTGTCAGGGCGGGCTTTATACGATGATGGACAGATGACCAACAGTAACATAATCAACCATGTGACCAAAGCGAGCTTGGGTGACAACAATAATGGCTGCCGCTGGAGAGTTTAGGTGAGTAGATTCTGCTATTAGGTCTGTTCTAGAAGATATCGACAGCAAATTAATTTTAAAAGAGGAACAGAGAAACACGATCAAGTCTCATCTTCTTATTATAGGCGTGCAACTGCAAGCTTTGATTTTTGTGGACAAAACTATGCGTCGCTTAACATACGTCACGCACTCCGTTGCTCTTATTGGTTGTAGGTCTATCCAATGGAGTGCAGAGGCATTTTTTTCCCTGGTTCGTTCAAAAACACGCCCCATAATCACAGCTCTATGGAGCAGCATCAGACTCATTCTGACTAGAATTGAGTCGGACTACGTCAGGCTACCCATTTCCACCTCCTCCTATCTCAGACTACTCTCAGTCCCACTCACCCTCTGAAGACTATTCTAAACCTTTTCCTTTGTAACTCATCCAAGCAAATGTTGATTTACAGCATCAAAGTCTTCTGCCGGGGCCCGAGCACCAAAGAAGTTATTTCATTTATGTCTTCTTCTGTCTCCATGAACCCCAGTTGGTCTCAGCAGATGGCCGCTCACACTGAGCCTGGTTCTGCTGGAGGTTTCTTCCTGTTCAAAGGGAGTTTTTCTTTCCACTCTCGCTACATGCATGCTCGCCATCAGCTGGTTTTCCTTAGATAGAAACATTTTCAACCATCTGAATTTGTTACCAGCAAAAATTGATTGAATTGTATAATAATTTTCTAATTCAAGTTTTTCTCAGTGTGAGTCTCTCCAGGTCAAATTAAAACATATTTAACTATATAATGTATTTCAGTTATTTAGCAAATGATTAAAAGATTTATCGACTAACATAAAACATCTACATTTGTTGCTGAAATGCCAAGCAGAAGCGAATCGTCGCCTTCCTTAATGCATTTAAAACATGCAGCGCATCCTTCAAAACTGGCTTTATTTGGTTAACATGTACAGGAACATCACTGACATTAAGCTTCCACCCCTTACACATGTCCACACTGTACAGATTATATATACATATATATATATATATATATATATATATATATATATATATATATATATATATATATATATATATATATATGTATATGTCACACAAGAAGTTCCTCTGTTAGATTCCCTGTGACGTTGAGCGTGACTACAAAGCCAAAAAGGTGTCATTTTAAAGCTTCCCTTTGACTTTATTCTCACAGCCAAAATCTGTGACATGAATGGATCAAGGTAACACCTACAGCTGAAGGCAAATATTTACATACAGTTAAAAAAAAAGACAAAACAGTGAAATAAATTAATTTTTCCTTTTTTAGGTCAGGATAATTCAGATCAATATTATTTGCTAAAAGCCAAAATAATAAAATATTTGTGAAGACTTTGTTAAAAATGAAGTTCATAACCATTAAAATGTCTACAAGTCTATAATAAAATTATTAGGAAAAACTTATGTGATGGCTTTGCAAGACACACCTGATGAAGTATCTTAAAGCAACACCTCGAACATAACATTTATTGTATGACTTCAACCAAGAGAGGAAGAAAACTGTAGACCCTGATTAATTCATCCTTTTCTTTAGTCACAGCTTTACGACTTGACAAGGACTCCTGGATCGTGTTGAAACTTAACCGGAATATTTGAGCCAAAGTCCAGTTGTCTTCGATTTCAGCCTGTTTTGTGGTTGCCGTCCTTAGCTATAATAATTTATAAAAACATTGTACAGTATAAATGGAGAAAAGGGGTTTTTCATCTTCCAAACAAAATGTTAATATATTTTTTTTTTTTTTACAATTTTTTGGATAATTACTTCTCAAAATCTTTTGCTATCTAAGCTAATAGCAATTTTTCTTGTCTCAATAATCCAGTTAATGATTACTAAATGAGAGATCATTTCAGTTGTTTTAGTCCTAATTTGCACTGATGGATATGTCAACTTCAGGCATCTGGAAATCGTACCCATCTATGGGAATGTCCTCATACTGCTCAGAAACAAGGGTTCTGTGTCCCAGAGATGAAAGTGTTTTCGGGTGAAATCTGTGCATCAACTAAAGAACAAAAGGCTTTTTGGAGAAAACCACCTGAAGCATGAATCCTGCCACCAGAAACCTGAAACTGCACTCAGCTAGGAAGAAGCAGCAATAAAAAAAAGATAATTATTTTGGCATTTAGCACATAGAAATACAGCTGGTAATCTAAACTGACCTAAACCAGGAAAAGTTTGGCCACATTTATGCTCTTGGCATTGAAAATAATCCAAATATGTAAACATCTGGTTTAAGCTGCATTTGTCTAATGCTGTCTGCAGTTTGAAATTTTTTTTTTTTTTTCTGAATTCTGTGGGATGTGAAACCAGTTAACCACCTTAGAAATTCATTTTCTGTAAAAGTGGAACATAATCGAAGCCATGTGGGTCAGTTTTAATTCTTTAATAAAATGTCCTCTTTAAATACACAGATATATGGTGTCCCATGGTTACACCCATTGTGCCTTTTTCTTTTCCCATCCCTTGTTAACTGATAATTGAGTCCCCGTTAAAAATCAGTAGTTGCTATAAGACAACATAAAGTACAAACACTCACTTAAATATACAGTGAAAGTGGACAGAGAGTACCCAACGTCATCAACCCTGTTTCTTTCTTTTTTTTTCAGACTTTGTTATAATTAGAGTTTAAATAAATTATATTTGATCAGATCTGTTCTGTTATCTAGGGTCAGGGTGGAAATCTCACAGGTCACACCTTCATTAAAGGCAGTAAGAGTCAATACTTTGCTTCAGCTGGAAATCAGACCTGTCAGGACAGGCAGGGGGAGGGGAAGAGAGGCTTTGTAAACATAAAACATAATTCAGACTTCCTCGTTAACACAAAGAGCCAGACGCGGCATTTCTTCACACCACACACGCTCGACTCGAGGAAAAAACAGCCAGACTTCTCCAGTTTTTCACCTCATTGACCCTGTGAATGCACAGAGCGCTCCACCGAGCAGCGTTACAATAGAAGCCATTGTACAAGCCTCCTTTCATGCATTTATCTGCCACCTACTCTGCATTAGCGATGCAGGCCATTCTTTAGAGCTACAGCAGAGGAGCAAATCTGTATTCTGTAACAAAACTCTGATGTCCCCCAGCCAACAAATTAGCACCCAGTGTGACTTCAAACGGGGGCGAGTGGAAGAAAGAAAAACTTAAACGTTTCCTGATAGGTCCACTTGGAGATGGCGGAAAGGTGCCGACGTCTGTGGCAAAGCACGATACTTTCACTAAGGCTGCATTTATCCTGCAAATCATACAGTGAAGGACGTTTCTACAGAGGTTATGGAAAAATGGACGCCAGGTCATATAGAGCAGAAGAGCATGGGCATAATGCGACTGCACACCCAGTTGACAACTATACTGTTACTACCCGGAGAAATCTATGCTACTAAGAGATTTTGCACAAGGTTTCAATACAGCACATATAGGCTGGGTGAAAGGTATTCTACATTGTGTTGCTTCCTTAATGTGTGATATGGATGCTCCCATGTTTTACAGTGATTTAGAATAGCAGGACTCCTCTTTTCTTAAGGTAAATGAGGTGAGCAAGGTCCTCCCACAGGCTCCATTTGTTTTCGCTGCACATGTTTAGTCAGCCACTACGACGCAACACGCTCTGCCGCCCATCCTCCCTAAACAGGGAGTGGATCCTCATAATACCTACTTTGGCTTCATTAACCACTGCCGACGTGCAGCTGTGAGACACATGAAAGCTACATAGGACTACATAAAGAACACAGTACTTTAAACTAATGCACAGTGCAAATAGGCTTCTCTCTTCTCTTGTCCATCTCCCTAACTTCCCGAAATGAGCCGGCTTTGAGGGAGAGGATAGCTCCAGATACTGCAGCACCCCCCGGCACCCCATTCTGCTGGGAGACAACTTCTCTGCTATGAGTTCAGGTCTTTCTCTGAACCTCCAGGCTGAAGAAGTGGAGATGGAGTGGCAGAGGATGAAAGGCGTAGGCTTTAGACAGAGGAATCTACTTGTAAAGGCTCATGGTCGGGCTCTGATACATGCACATATAGGCGTCGCAGAGCAGACGTCGCGCCTGGCCCTGGATGCTCTTGGGGTCCAAGGTGTGCAGCTCCTCTGGGGTCATTTTCAGATAGGCTTCCACTTCGGGACAGGGAGACACCTGCGGTATGTTGAAACCATTCTGGCCCCCTGCAACATGAGGTTTAACTGTTAAATTAAGGCGCTTGAAGAACACTTACACATCCCTCTAAATTCTACATCTATTAATACAGCTATACATTGTTGTTGTTTTTTAGATCATTAACAGTAAATTTTAAGGCCTTAATAGGACTTCAAAATATCCCATCAACCTCAGAGGACAATTGAAGTAAAAAGTTGTTCCGTTGGAATGTGAGCCAGGCCTGTTTACGTTGCAGAAGGGGCTTCAAGAAACAGCATCATGAATTAGCTACTTTTTCTTTTCTTTTCTTTTTTATTAACTTAAATATAGATCTGCTCAACTGTAGAGATGGAGCCATTTCAAAGGATAAACCTAAAATTAATCTAATATTCTATCTGATCTGTGTCCATTTTTTCTAACTTTTATGACCATTTTAAATTTTCACACAGATTTTTTTCATTTTATAATTACTTTTAAATCTTATTTTATTCAACTTCTTAGTCTAAAATTATAACCCTACCTCATTCTATAGTTCTCAGGTGACATCCTGCTTGTGAATAATAAATAGCTCCTTTTTAGGCCTATCGTTAGATTCTCGATCCAGAAAGAACTCTGACTAGAAACAAAACATTGTGTGGCGGTCACACCCACCATCACGGTCCGCCATGCTGTCGAAGAAAAGCCAGGCAGAATCGGCGCTGCCGTACTTGACGAAGGCCACATAGTGACTGGTTTCGATGCACAGCACAGCAAACAGCTCCATCCGCTGGCGGGGGAAACCGCCCTGACGCCCCGTGCCTTCCTGCAGCTCCTTGGGGACGGATAGTTTGTTGTGTCGATGGGCTTTTCTTCTCGGGTGGAGGTGAACCTAAATGACAATGAGCAGAGGCACTGTCATATTCTTCTGGGTTTATTTTTTAAGAAAAATACAAGATATCTTATGTTTTTTAGTTTTTTTTTTTTTTATATATATATAAAAATCCAAGCAAGGCATTCACTAAAATGCTCTACTGGAAAATCATAAAAACTAAATGCAACTTTAATCTAAGTTGGAAACATGTCCTCTGCTACAATACTCCAAAATAATGATTTCTTTGGAACTGGCGCCACCAACTGGACAATTGTGACATTGATGTTGCAGCGCCGCTCTCCGATGTTTACCTGTGTATTGCACTTTTCACAGAACTGCTTAATCTTGCCAGCAGTGATATCCCCATCCTCATAACAGTCTCTGCATTCGTAGAGAGCCAGGCCTCCACAGATGCGACATTCCCTCGGAGCTGAACAAATGATAGAACGGGCTTCTTTGAAAAACTGATTGAAGAGCAAGGAAAGGTTTCTTTCATTTCAGCTGAGCTCCAGTGACAGGCCAGAGGAGTTTCATTACCAAATGCCACACAGCTGCAAATCAACTCTACAGACTGGGACAAAAAAAAAAACACACAACTTACTGTCTTCAAGAAGGTCTGTGATGTCTAACTCCAAGGAGGGAAAAATCTTGTTGAACATTTTGAAGTCCTTGCCGAAGCGTGGCATCTGGATGATAAGGCAAGACGGAGCCTTGGGGAGCAAGAAAAGGAACATTTATAAAGATTATAAAGAAAGTTTCATTTAGATTCTAAATCCTGTTTAACAAAGAAGATTCGACACAGTGCAGGTCTGGGCTATATCGCATGGGAATGTAAACTTCCCTAAAAATAAAGTGAAATAAATGAAAATACTACTTACCTCCGCAAATTTTAAGTCACTGTTTATGAAGGACCACTCCAGGAGCTGCTGGATGGTTGGAACTCCGACCTTGTCCTTCTTGTCCATAAAGATTTGGTAAAAGTAACAGTCCTGGACTTTCTGACCTGCAGACCTGAAAGACAAAACAAAATGTCATGGGAAGTTAAGATTTTACTTAATGCTTTATCTCTGAGATGAAAAATATTTGCTTTATTGGCAAAGGCTGCAGAATTACAGATGAATCTCAATAGATTCATTATATTTGAGGGGTTAATTTATTTATTTAATTATATATATATTTTTTAAAACAATTGCCGTAGTGAAATATCTGTTTTATGGCTCATACCAAAATAGTACAAAAATCACAGCATATGTCACAAATAGAGATCTGACCAAGTACTGATGGTGGTTGGAGGTGCTGGTGGCGCCAGTGTGCAGCAGCCTGGCTTCTGTCAGTGAGCTCCAGGGCAGCTGTGGCTACAATGTAGCTCACCGCCATCATTGTGTGAGTGAATGGATGAATGACTGTAAAACTCTTTGGTCAAATCCTCTAACTTGAAAAAGCTCTTTATGACTACATGCTATTTACCTTTTAGTATTTGTGTAATCGCTGGACAAAATATTTGATAGTAGGCTGATATTTCTGTTTAAAAAACATTTTTAACATTTACGTAGCTCAAAGTCCTTAACTGTTGGTTGGCTCTGGTGCGTATAAATCTCTTCCTTCCACTAGACGTTTCATTAATATGCTGAGTTACTGAACAGCCAGTGTTAGAGGCTCAGTATCTTAAAGTGAAGTGAAAGTGAAAGCCCTTTGGGAAACTCCTCCAACTCCCATTGTCATTGTGACACAGCACACACAAGTGAACACTGCACACCATGAAATTGCATTTATGCCTCACCCGTGCAAGGGGGCAGCCCTCAATGGCGCCCCAAGGGAGCAGTGTGGCGGGACGGTACCATGCTCAGGGTACCTCAGTCATGGAGGAGGATGGGGGAGAGCGCTGGTTAATTACTCCCCCCACCAACCTGGCGGGTCAGGAGTCGAACCGGTAACCTTTGGGATCCAATTCTGACACCCTAACCGCTCACCCACGACTGCCCACGTCTACCCGAGGATGTCAATGTCTGTGTGTTTGGTGTTAAAGGACCAGTTTCTCATGAATGAATGAGTGAAATTCTGAAATAAAGAACTCTTTGGGTGATGAATATAATTAATATCAGCTGTAAATTAATTTTATCTCAGTGGTATTCAGCCTATTAAGATGCTACTGGAGAACATATATCCACCCTTGTTTAAGGATAAGCATATTTAAAACAATACACACAAAAAAAACATTTTTCCAGCAGTTTAACAAAACAAAATCATAGTTGACTGAATGGTTGCTAAAAGGGTTTAATCTTTTTACTGTATCCTGCATAATTTAAGCAAGCTCTTCCTGATCCATGCGAGCTAATGAGAACATAAAATAGGAGAGCAGCTGTTGAGGCAGAAAAAAATATTGGACTGCACAACCTTTTACCACTAATAAAAAAGGCCTCACAGAAAAATAAAGTAAAAGCTGAATATCTAAAGGACGACACCTCAGACAAAGACACATTAATAAAATCTATGTAGGAACAGGATTTTACGTTAGGGCCTATCCAGCACCTTCAATGGTAACAGTTTCCATAGAGAAGTAGGTTTTAAATTCATGGAAGAAATAGATTTTTTAAAACACTAAATTTATAATAGAGTTTATTTTTCTACTTTAAATTCACCAGGAGCAATTTCCCCTTTAAAAATTCAAAGGTATATTTTAACCAAAAATAAAACAAAAATGTACCTGCAGTAGTTTCACTTTTAAAATGTGGCTATAGAGAAATTTGTCTGCAAGTGTGTTAATGTTATATGATCATTCAAGCCACCAGCATTAAAGCGAGTCCAGTGCCTTTTAGCCAATCAAATATGCTCAATAGATCATGTGACACACTGTGGCTTTAGGTAGAAATGGGTTTCTTAACACTGAAAAAAAATATTTGCAGGTGAATTTCTGCCGAAGTTGTTTTTTTATTATGGATTTTCTAGATTTCTAGGAAGAAAAAAAAACAATTCAAACACATAATTTCACTGTATAAATCAGATGTCTAAAAAAGGTCTGATCCTGATGAGACCTTTTCTCATGTTTTTGTATACATGAGTGTTCTCATGCATGCAGATAACACCCGCTGATGTGGTTTAATGTGTCAAAAAAGCAGAAGAGAATAGCAGCTGTCGAAACTGGTAATTCAGCTGCTGTGAACTGCAAAAAACGTACTTAGAACACAGTCATAAATATTCTAAATAAAACCTCCGATCTCTCAATTCTATCAGGTCCAAAGCCTTAAAGCAGCAGCATAAGCAAAACTTTGGGATGGACTTAAATCTGCATATTGCTGAATAAGAAACAAAACAAAAAACTATTGAATTATGTGGAATCAGCTAAACTTGTGTATTTTAACTTAGTTTTATAAATTCATACAATTCCAACTTGAAAATGCTTATTTGTCTTTCTTACTCACCTTCACCTATTTTTTTAGAAGCAACTTCGAGGAACTTTTTGCTTTCTTGTCAGTGTTAGCTCCTTACCTTAGCTTCAGGAGTGGATCCACTCTTAATATGTGATGAAACAGGATATTAAGGAACTCCTCAGGATCTGCAGAGCATAAAGCAAATCACTGAGGTTGGATGTGATACTTATGTGCCAATGCTGCCATCTACTGCTCACAAATAATGTGTTTGCTTTGAGAGTTAAGTATTCAACACAATTTCCGTCTGAGATAAAAATGGCAAATATATAGGAACAAGTTCACAATTATAAAGGATTTTGGATTCAGGACATTATCTTTCAATTTAACTGAACCTTTTTCTTCAGACGTAAATCCTGAGGCAGCTTCTACTTTCTCGAGGATCCTCCTGAGCTTCATCACTTTCGTGGCACAAACGTACCCATGTCTGTAAAACAAGGAGGACAGTGCTACAGGAAGACTTCTGGGATGTGCATTTTGGGTATAAGAGTAGAGTAAAAATATAAAATAAACAACCCTTTAACCTGGACAATGCCTTGCAAAAGTATTAATGCCCCTAGAAATTATTTTTTGCTGCTCTAAAAACCCCTAAGTTGAATGTGTTTCATTTAGATTTTATATGACAAAAATTAAGTGGTTTATCATTTTAAAGTGGAAATGGATTAAATCGTTTTAAATTACATATATAAAGTACGTGTGCCTGTATACAGCATTGTTTGGTCGATGTTCGTATAGCTATCTTGTAGAGACCGATCGATACAAGTTTTTTAAAGGCCAATGCTAATACCGATTACTTTGACAGTAGCCTAACAGATCCCAACATGTGCTTACGATATGTTTGCGCCCATCCTTGGAGCCAGTTTTGCTTATTCCTCTTACATTTGCATGATAAAAATTACATAATGACAAAAACCGTTAAGGTCTCAATTTAAACAATAAAAAAGTCCTATTAACAAATCAAAGAAAACATTTACAATTTTTAGTAAATGAAGGGGAGAGGCAATGCAAGCACTTCAGGTAAAGCTAATGTTGGTCAAGAATATAGGCTGTCTTTTGTATTGGTTTATTTTTACTATCTCATTCTGATTGAAATTAACTATTTGCAAAGTAGTTGAAGCTTAAAGGAATAGTACACCCAAAACATGATTAGCCTTCATTTTCTACTCACCCCCATGCTGAACAACACTCTGGAGTACTTTTTTGACATCTCAAATGCATCTGGAGATCTGGGAGGCTTCTTGCTGTCTGCTGACATTCAAATAATGGAGGTCTATGGTGACTGAGACAGAAAGGTCCATAAAAGTCCACAAAAAACGTGTCAATATTCCTCCATACTGCTCGTCCAATGTATTCCAAGTGTCCTGAGTGGGTAGCGTCCATAATTTACTCGAAACGAAGTCATTTAGAATGTTTTTAGAGCATAAACAGTAGTGTATAGGATTTCCTGAAAGCGCGTTCACGAGTCTACGGAAACCGCGGCAGACCAAACCAGATGAAAGTGCGCATTCAGCTCGGCAAAGAACTCCTGCTCTTCCTCAACACTGAAGTCCTCAGACATTTTTCTTTTGTTGTTTCTTTCTTTGCACAGGTAAACAGCACATTTCTTCTTCTACGCTTGCATTATCGGCAGAGCAGACGCTGAATGCGCACTTTCATCTGGTTTGGTCTGCCGACTTCAGTAGCGTTGTGAACGTGCGGGCGCACGCTTTCAGGAAATTCTATACACTACTGTTTATGCTCTAAAAACATTCTAAATTACTTAGTTTCGAGTAAATTATGGACGCTACCCACTCAGGACACTTGGAATACATTGGACGAGCAGTATGGAGGAATATTGACACGTTTTTTGTGGACTTTTATGGACCTTTCTGCCTCGGTCACCATAGACTAGAGATGTCCCGATCCAGGTTTTTGCACTTCCGATCCGATACCGATATTGTTTTTGGACTTCCGATCCGATACCGATATTGTTTTTGGACTTCCGATCCGATACCCATACTGGCCGATACCAGCCTATCCGAGCATGTATTTAAGTTTAAGTTAAAGTATTTAGCCTTAGTTGTAAGACTCATGTTGAAAAGGGTTTTAGTACTCTTGATAACATCTAGCCAGCTGAATTAGGTGAGATTGAATAAAACACAATGCTTGGTAACAACAAACTTATCTGTTTATTAAGAGATAAACACAAACTGGACAAAATTATGAATAGCAATCTGAAATTGCACAGTGAGCAGTAAAACCGTAAACAGTTAAAGGTGCAAGTATTACTGTAAGTTTTAAGAAAAATGCAAAACAGGGGAACACTGGCGCAAAATAGTGGAATGGATCGTTTCAATCGGCGAAACTGGAAAATACGGAACGGATTTTTTTGTAAAAACTGGATCGGCAGTCTGGATCGGCATTTTACATGCTTTGCCGATACGCATTTTTTTGCCAATATCGGCATCCCGATGTCAGCAGACAGCAAGAAGCCTCCCAGATCTCCAGATACATTTGAGATATCAAAAAAGTACTCCACAGTGTTGTTCAGCATGGGGGTGAGTAGAAAATGAAGGCTAATCATGTTTTGGGTGTACTATTCCTTTAACCAAGCTGGTTGTGAGAATATTTTCTGATTTCTATTTGTCATTGCATTTGGACTTCTGGACTCGGAGCAGATTAATCCAAACCATGAATCCAGTGAGATCATTCTATTGTGTATTGCATTGGTTGCCTCACTGGTTTGCTGGAAGGTAAACCTCTGTCCCAGTCTCTTGTTTTCACAAACAGATAATTCCAGCTGGGAATCTTTACTACAACAGACACTCAGAAGTAGTTAGAGTTAACCTTAGTACAATTTGGAGCATCCATTTTTTTGGAGATGGGAGAGATCCCACACATTCAATGCTGAAAAACACTGATTTGATTCCAGCATATTATACGAAAGAAGTATGATATCTTTTGCAAAGCACAACATTTAAAGGCTTGACAGCACTGTAGCCTAAAAGCAAGCTAAAAACAGAAGGTTGTTTAAAGGGCAGCTACTGTCACATACATGCGCAGTGGATTGACTATCTCTGTGCGTAGCAGCTCCTGAGTCTCTCTGTAATATTCCACGTCAGTTTTTGAACGTGGCCTCAGCAGAACCGTGTCCAGTACAGAGCTGAAGGAGAAAAGACTAAGGAGCAGAAAATAATAACTATATTAGAAAGAAGCATCTGTGTCCACATGTTTAACAAATATGGCCATTAAATTAAGTTACTGGAAAAGTGAAGTGGCACTGACCAGAATAGAGTTGAATCCAGATAGCAGGAGTTGTAGTGGCCTTGAATGCCTTTCTTTTTCCCCACCATAACATCCAGACCATCGTTCTCTGTCCGAGGTGGAGTGTTCTCATGCACTACCTCACTCAGATAACCTCCAAATGCTGCAAGAATTGAAAGCAATAACCTTAAAGAAACTGGAAGAGTAGAGTTTTGATATTGCTAAAACTCTTGATTTACCAATAGAGTTGCACCGCTCTATGGGGTTGGAGGAATGGTGCAGGGAGGGGAAGCGGGAGTCAGGCCGACAACATTTGAGCTTCACAAACAGAGCTTTTTTGGGTGGGCAGGTGAAGTAGCGAGTCCCTTTGAAGGTGCCATCAGTGCATCCAGGGCACTCTTCTTCCTGAGAGAAAAGCGTCACATTCGTAAATGTTACTAGTGGAGCAACTGCTTAAATCAACTGTAAAAAAACACGTTTTTTCAAGAAAAATCTTTAGCAATTTGCACCAGATCAGCACTATTGTTGGGCCATAAACCATGACATTAATTTTGGACACTGCAAATCAGCAAAGTTTAGAGGTCTGGCAAAGTTTTGAGGGTTTTGATGATTTTTAAGTATTTCATGTGTTTACTGTTGTGTAAGACAACAAGCTAACACATTTAGCTGCATGGTACACCACACTAACATGTTTTGAGCTGTTTTTTATAAAGCTAAAACAAGCTTTATTTCATGTGTTTCCTCATATGCTTATCACATGTGTTTAAATGGTAAATGGCATGTACTTATATAGCGCCTTTATTCAAGTTAGAAGACTTGACCAAAGCGCTTTACACTACATTCATTCACCCATTCACACACACACTCACACACTGATGGTGGCAAGCTACATTGTAGCCACAGCTGCCCTGGGGCTCACTGAGAGAAGCGAGGCTGCCGTACACTGGCGCCACCGGGCCCTCTGACCACCATCAGTAGACAATGCAGGTGAAGTGTCTTGCCCAAGGACACAACTAGGGCTGCAACAACGAATCGATAAAATCGATAAAAATCGACGTTTAAAAGCGTTGGCAACGAATTTAATCATCGATTAGTTGTGTCGCGCGATTAATGCGTCATCCGCCGCCGCCGTCATCCCGGGGAAGAAAAAAAAATATGGCGGAGCGAGTCAGCGCCGCAGTTGCAGTGTTGCCAACTCAGCGACTTTTCAGACCCCTCCAGCGACTATTTTTTTAAAAAGCGACTAGCGACAAATCTGGCGACTTTTTACGGTGTCACTGGCGGCTTTTGGAGACTCTTACGTGAAAGCATGTATCGTTCCTACTCTTGTCCTCCAGCGGCAGCTGCTGCCGTGGGGCGCCTCCCCCATCCCAACGCCTTTCTCCCTCTCCCACAGGAATCCCTCTCAGCGTGCAATCCGAGCCGCAGGATTTTAGTGAGGAGTTTACCCTCAGCGTCCAGACTGCAAATGAAGCGCGCATGCCCCGGGATTGACGGCGCAAATTGATCACAATAATTAAAATAGCCTGCGCTTTGTAAAGTGAAAAAAGTCGTAACATGCAACTTTTGTAAAAAACACATGAACATGGCACGAAGCACCACTGTTATGACGCAGCACCTGAAAAGAAAACACGTTGGAGCCTTCAATGGCAGTGAAGAGAGCTGATCAGCAGGATGAGTAACCATGTTTGTTTCATTTTAAAGTGGGGAAACGTAAGTTAGTTTCTCAGATAGCTCATCTGATTCTTTCCTTAGCTTGTTAGTAGGTTACAGACAGTGATAAGGTTGGCTTCTTATTTTACTTTTAATTTCATTTGAATTAGCTTAAGCAGCGTTTATATTTTCTTTATAAATAAATAAATTTGCAAATTATGAGGGCAAAGTTTTAAAGTTTAAATCTTCTGGCAAAGAAAGTAAAGAAGATCCTGCAATTTATGGAAGTGAAGCAGAATAAAATCCAGCAAGATCAGTAATATGTCAATTAATTATCTGCCACATTCCCATGTAAATATCTGTCTTTGGAGGATGGGTTTTTTTAACACCCCTAGTTCTCTCATTTTTATTCCAAATACAATTTATAATTTGAATCACAGGGCTATTTTTATCTCTATGGTTAAGTATTTTCTTAAGTAGCAACTTTAACTGCTATACTTTCCTGTCTTAAAAGGCAGAACTCTTCTAGTCTAAAAAAAACTCATTTGTTGAAATGGGGGGGGCCTATTGTTTGAACCCCTTAGGGGCTTTTAAAAACAAAAATGTCTTTTTTTGCGCTTTATGAAACAAAGTACCCTATATTTTGTGGATGTACAGCTACATTTCTCATGTAAGTTTGCATAGTTTTAACACAAACATTTATTTTTCATATAGCACCAGTACAGTTAATGAGAAACCTGTACTTGTGTGCTTGTTTGTTCTGTCTAAAATGTTTATTTTGGAATAAAGAGGTTAATATAAAAAAAATATTTTGTGTCCGATTCATCGATTAATCGAAAAAATAATCGTCCGATTCATCGATTTTCAAAATAATCGTTAGTTGCAGCCCTAGACACAACGACAATGAAAGTCGGAGTCGGGGCTTGAACCGTCAACCCTCCGATTACAGGGCAAACACTTTACCAAAACATGACTAACAAGTCATTTGAGAGGAGCGCCCTTATATCTTCTGGCTACTAGCTTAATCATATAAGCTTAAGGATCAATTAAATAAAGGTTATTGATTTCTGAATGCAGATCATTTAATGAAACTTTATCAAATAATGTATTTAGCTCTTGTTATTGAATTGTTAATTGGTTTGAACATATCCAAATCGCTCTAAATTAGAAAAACCCAATGTGACCTTTCTTTAAGATAAACATGATTCTCAAACATAAAATGCATTATGAACTGTAATATTGTTGCTTCATTTTATTGATAATGGTTTTCACCCATTTTATTATTTTTTGTGTGAATATACTGGCTTTGTTTAGTTGAGTTTCACTAGATTAGTCAGGAGTTTTTAACTGAAATATGTGACTTTGGGCTAAATTATTTTTCTTAATACATAGTTATATTTTTTATGGAATTTGTGGTGAATTTATTCCAAATATGTGCAGTTGTCTGTTTGACCATGATCTAAGCTCGATCCGCACTTTAATTTGTTGTTCTAAAACCACAGCCAGTTGGGGGAACGTTGAATAAGTCACAACTACACAACACTTTCTTGACGTGTTCACATTTGCTCCAAAATACTGAGAGGCATAATGCTACTGTTACAACTGAACAGGTGAAACTCTTTGGGAAATGTACTTGTTTGTTTTTTTAGCTAGGTACTGTGACTTCCCCTCATCACTATAGAGGAGCCAAACAAACAAGAAAGTAGGAACTCACCAAGCTCAGCTAGATGAATAATACAGAGACAAAAACCCCTAAGAAACCAGTCTGCCCCTTTCAATTTTTACAGATGGTCAATTGGGTTGGGGGAAAGTTGGGGTAAAAGCTCCTTTTACTTCATACTAGTTGTCATATTTTGAGCTTTAGATTTTGGATGCCAAAAAGGAGTCCAATGATTTGATATATAATGCATATAACTCACCAACTCCAGTCCAGCCAAAGGCTCCAGCAGGCCAGGAGGCAGGCCCACCCAGCGGATAACACCACATAGAGGGGGGTTCTCCTTCACCTCCACCAGTGAGCCCACCTCAAGACCTGACTGCCCTCGGGGAGGCGTCGGAGGCCGAGGAGACGGAGGGTTAGCAGGCGATGGGGGCTCAAGCTGCTCTCCCATTACAGACCCAACAGAAAGTGAGATGGGCCCTTGGCTTATATTCTCAGGGGTCTTACGATTCAGGCTAAAGGGCAGCGAGTGGAACTTGTTGTCACTTGACAGTGAAGTTGTGGGTGGGGCTCTGGATGGTGGAGGAGACTGGTTGAATTCAGGTGGGGTGTCGGTGAGTGACTTTGCAGGGTCTTCTCCTACTAGAAAGCAAGATGCAACATTTAGTCATAATGTGAAGGTTGTCTTTACAGATTTTGTATTGTCCAAATGGAAAAGACATTTTTGAGAACAGCATGGTTTAAAAAATAAAAATTAAATTGGACATACATCACCAGCAGCCATCTCCACAACATTTAAACACATCTTAAAACATGAATTAACAAGACTGTTGTAAGGAAATCTGGCTAAACACCTATAAGAAAAAAAAAATCATTATATCCAATAAGAGGTCACTCATTTTAATTTGACCTTGGGTCATGATTTGTAATTTTTCATAAAGGTCAATTTATCTCAAAGAAGATGAAAGCCTAAATTAATGTCAGATTGTCTAATATAAACTTTCAAATAAATATAAATTGACACAATTTTAAGATATTTAATCATTTAATGACTCTTTCTCTCGGTAATTACTGCTGACAGATTGTTATTATCGACTTCCTTATAGAGGATTTTTCCTGCCAAAAATCAAGAGCACACATTTTCAATTAGAGAGCAGAATTTCCTTTATTTGCACTCAAACTTGTAATGCTCATATTCAAAACCTCTGCTTTCTATCATACATATTCTCATCTCCATCAAATCTTTGTTTCTGCTCTCAGATCTACATAATGCTTATTGCACTCTTGTTTACTTCCTTTTCCTTTGCTTTCGCACACAAACCAGTCTCTGCTTTGGTCTGAGATACGCTCACAAACCTGTTGGCTCCGCTTGTGGATTTTTTTTTTTTTTTTGCTTTTTCTCAGACTGGAGTTGGATTGTTGCCTAGCAACCTTTCTAGCCAAGAAGAAGACTGCCTCAGAAAGGGTGCGCATATTTTTTTTCCGCTGAGTTTGCCTATTATTGCTTTCTGATAACAGAAATAATAATTCCTAATAAATAAAGGGTAATATATATATATATATATATATATATATATATATATATATATATATATATATATATATATATATATATATATATATAATATAAAACATATATATATAAAACTGTCAAGGTTTTCAATGAAAACAGCAAATTATCATGAAGTCACTTAAAAAATAAATCTTCTTTAACTCTTATAATTTGTTTACAAGCATAAACTTGATATATTTCATTGGGATTTTGTGCGATACACCAACAAGTAACAGTTAATTGGTGTGATGAAAATGGTAGACAATATTCAACAATTTTTATACATCTCATATTGCCTTTTTAATTTATGTGCTAAAAAAACATGCACACTTGCACATAATATTATTATCATTGTTTTTAATACAGCCCTATGCATACTTTTTTTTTTTTTTTTTACATACTGTGGTTTTTTTGTAGCACTAATAATGATGTGAGCGATGACCAAAGCCAAAGAGAAAAAAAAGTTTTTAAAAAATTGTAATGGTTTAAAAAATATATTAAACGATTTGAAATCATGCAATTTGAAATCCAATTTGCAACGCATTTGTTGTCAAAATGTTGTATTACTTTGTATTGTTAAAGAGGAATTGTAAATAGTATTATTAATCCATTATCAAATACTGGAATTTGTAAATGTATTTTTAAATCCTATTTCTAAATTAGGATTTAAAAACACAATTGATAAACCTGACTATAAATATATTTCCCCATCACACATTTAATAATATCATTTTTTTAATCGATTTCCATTTTTTTTCCTTTCCTTATTAAATTTTTGAAATTGCATTTTCTTTTTGCCTAATCCGCTCCAATCACCTACGTGACGTTTCTGGTCCCTGAGACCTTTGAAAAGCAGTTAAACCAATCACAGTTTTTCCTCATATGTAACCAGCTCTCTCATTGGTTAGACTGTCACACTTGGTTCGCAAACTAACCAACAAGATAGCTGGTTATATCTGTGGAGTAACTGTGATTGACTTTACAGGATTGCAGTGTGCTCAGGGACCAGAGAGTTTGCAGAAAAGGTAAAAATTATTTTTTTTATTTGAAAAAGGATTTGAAAACAGAAAATGAAAAGTTATTATTTATGAAATATCTAATTAGGAGAGATATTCTTTATCAGATTTAGGAATTTTGGTTTTAAATCTTCATTTGAACTGTAAAGTGCCTTGAGATGACATGTGTTGTGAATTTGGCGCTATATAAATAAACTGAATTGAAAATTGAATTGAATTTAGAAAAAGGGTTCCAAAATTCATTTTTAAAATCCAGTAATAGCTGCAAAGTTACAATTCCTCTTTAAAATTCTATTTAAAATATGAAATTTGAAAATGCTTTTCAAATTGCATTATTTAAATGTTACATTTGAAATTGTTGTAGTTCATTTTCAGTGACTCTCTAGGTCAGGGGTCACCAACGCGGTGCCCGCGGGCACCAAGGGGCCCTCAAGGACCACCATGGGGTGCCCTCTTCATCTTCTGAAAACAGAAGAACTCACTCAGTGGGTTAAGTTTAATTTTTTTTTATTCCGTTGCTCTTCTTTTTAATCATTTATGTATTATTTCATCATGTTAACTATTTCATCATATATCAGTGGTTTCAAAATGACAATATTAAAAAGAAAATTAGAAATGAATAAAAGAATAAAATAAGAATAAAAATGAGTTTTTATGGATGAGATTTACTGTAGGTGAACACTGATCCCTCCAGTTCATAGGTCAGTATTGGTAGCCCTTCCTATGACTCGGTAGCCATGAAGTAGCCCTCAGTCTTAAAAAGGTTGGTGACCCCTGCTCTATGTCATTAGTTTTCCAAAAGTTTGGGATGCCGTTTTACATAGAATCCCAATAAAACAATCATGTTTGTGCTTGTGACAAAAAAAAAATAAAATAGCATATATATATATATATATATATATATATATATATATATATATATATATATATATATATATATATTCATAAGACATTATGTCTAAAACCTCTCACAGAACATTTATATTTAAGGTTTGCTTTCTGTGGTCTTTATATGGAGAAGTAATATAATGACTAACTTATGTCTATGAGTTTAGCTTTTTCTTGGACAAAGGATAAATATTCCTTTAGTAAATCAGAAAAAAGATGGACATCTGTTGTGCCTTCATCTTAATTCATTGAAGAAGAAAAAAATTACAAGCATCCAAACAATCGGACAGTACTTCCCTGGTAGGATGTAAACAATCACATATTTACAGGATTAGATTAGTGAGCATTTGGAAGAAACTCATTTCACTGTTTACGAACGAACCTTTAATTTCTGAAATTACAACACACATCGGCAGAACACCCTGCATTTTTAACATTGCCAAGCAAAATGGGAAGACTACTTTTAGAATCTCCTATTTTAGCAGACTTATGGTTTTGATTGCCAACTTTCAAGAAGAATTAATTTTATTATTTGACAAACAAATCTAACTAGGAGCAAAAGCTAATTAAATAGTAGAAGACAAAGGTAATGACATGGAGTGGATAAGTCCCACACACCACAATATATAAAAAAAAAATTGTGTTTCAGATCCACTAAAAATATTAACAAAAAATAAATAAAAACAAAACATGAAAACCAGAACTTAAAAGGTGGGATGTGATGCTGACAGAACCAATCAATAATGACCCCAGTAACTAAAGCTTTTACAAATACTCGGGCATGCAATAGGCATCACAAAAACTCATTGTCAGCAACTGCAGCAAAATAAAGGTTAAGGCATGTAAAGGAGTCCTTTGCAGTCCCAAGCATAATTAAAAGTCTTTAGCCACACCAATTACTCCATACTGAAACAAAGTAGGAATAAAATGGTGATGAAGGACAAGACGAGTGGAAAAGTCTTAAAAGCAAGCTCCTGCATCAACCTACTAACCAGGTTTCATCCCGGCCAACGGTTATTTACACAAATTAGCTTCAAGTTTGTTTGGTTAGCATTTGGTGCTCCTGCTATTAAACAAATGAGCCCTTCTAGTGAAAAATAACGGGTGTCTGTTGCAGTAAATGCAAAACACATTTTCTCAGGAAAATCCTTTAACTAAAAAGTATTCTATTTTCTTTAAAGATGTAAAAGACTTGTTGCTACTATAGACTACACTAAGTTGGTTTATAAAATAAAACATCTAAAAATGCAGTAGCTATGAATGTATTTGCAAGAGACTGCGTAATTTAAATAATTTAATTTGTTTAAGAGCAATTGAAATAGTTCAGAAAGAGACTGCAGCATCCTATATGCACAAAGGAGGGTCATCACAGATCCTTCCTCCCAGCCACTATTTGGCCTTATAACTGTCATGGCTGTTAAACAACCTCAATAATTATTTACATGCCACTACTAGCAGTTTGGACTATTATTAGGGAGCACTGTGTGCCCTTTTACTTATATGCAAAGTTTATTTTCACTCTAAAACATGATGGTTCTTTGTAGCCTTTACTTCGCTGCCCTAATGACATCAGAGAGTGGATACCACTGAATCTCTTAGTTTTAATTTCTTTTAAAAAGCCCCTGCTGTCTAAAGACCATCTAGAGAGTGTGGTTAATGCTTTTATTTCCTCATGCCGGGACTAATGCAACTTTCGAAAGGAGTTAGCCAAGCCTCTCTCTCACATCTACAGCTGTTAAAGAATGCACATAAACCAGAGCACAAAACTCCTGATTTAGCATCTCTTCACAGGGTCCCTTCAAGTTTTGAATTAATTTTAAAAGTATTTAAAGTGCTCTGCCCCTTTTCCAATGTGTCTGGGTTGATTTTACTGCTCATAGATTTGCAGAATTGAGGCCTTTGTCCTTTTCTAAATCCAGAAAGAGCATTGGTTCCTAAACTGTAGAATGAGCTGCAGTTGTTGGAGGTCAGGTAGGCTCCATCTGTTGATGGTTTTGAAAACTTGTTTGAAAACACACTTTTTCCTATTTAACCCAGAATGATTCGGCATCTATGCTTTAATCTTTGTGTAATATATTTTCTTTGTATAACTTGTCACATTTGTGTTCAGGGCTGAAACAATCATGATTAATCGATTATTGAAATGATTCTCAACTAATATAGTGATCGATTAATCCTTAACTGGAGTGTTGAGACAGAAAAACGGGTCTTTAGATTACAACTCACGTAGAGCAGTAATTATACGTAAACATTTTGCATTTAAGATATATATAAAAAAAGAAATCCTCAAGTGGAAAAGTTTCAGTTTCACCTGGTTTAAATTTGTAAAAAATCTTCTTTAAGGAACCATCGGCTATTATTAATCGATTAATCTATTATTAATCGGTTAATATAAAAAAATAATTGACAGATTAATTGATAAGCAAAATAAACATTAATTGCAGACCTATTTGTGTTAATATATAATTCTTTTTTTCTACTTTACATTCATTTTTGTACAGCAGTTATTTCGTTTTTAGAGAGCTTTATAAATAAGTTTGTGTGATAGGGTAGTCCTTTTATGCAGTTTTTTCCTATTTTATAAGTTTGCTTTTCTATAGAGATAAATACAAATTCACAATTTGTCTTTTTTTCTCCTTTTTTCCATCTTTACAGTCTCACTTCTATTTTTGTTTCATATTTCTTTCTTATCTGCTCCCTGTCACCACCCTTCTGGTACACCTATATTTTCCCAATGAAGGACATCTCTATTTCTATTTTAAACATAATAAAGAAAGCTTGAACAAAATTACTTAATTTAGATGCTATTCAATTTGTAAAAAGGAGAAATGCAGTGAGTGATGCAATTTGTCTGACTTACTTATGGGTTTAAATAAATGGTGTTTAAATAAATATGTTTTAACGCTTCGGGTCATTAAAAACAAAAAAGCTCAGAAGCAGAAAATATTAAGCAGGCCTCGGCAAAACCTATCAGGCCTCAGCAGGAGCTTGCCAACAAGACGACCAACATCCCAAGAGTTTTACCTTCATCAATGTACCATGTGCTTTTGGATTTGGGCTGAGCTGGGGGGTCAAGAGAGCTGCCATTTAAAGTATAGTAAAACTCAGACTTGCTCCTACTGCCACACTGATGAGCTAATCCTGCAAGTAATGCAAGTACATGAGGGGGGAAAACAAGAGAGGAGTTTAATGTGCAGGTGCACAGCTGCTACTCTGAAATAAAAGGAAAAAAATCCAACAAAGAAGATTTATGAAACCACTATAAACCTTTACAGCAAAGGAAAGTCAACATTAAAAAATACAAAGCCATTCTTAAGACTGGTATAGAATGGTTAGGACATTCCTAAAAGTTCTCCATTAGTTAACACAAGCAGAAAGATTCTCACTTCTACAACTAAAAAGCCAAGTTGTCTTTTTCAGTATTAGCCTCTCAAGTGTAGCTGTAAAAATGTTAGGTAGCTCAGTATCATAATGTTGTTGTAGTACCTTTGCTCTTTGGTTTGCTTTGGCCAGAGGAGGATTTGTCACTGCCTCTGGGGGCAAAACTGTGCATTGGCAGCCTTTGGTTCTGCATGGGATATTCTGCACAGAAAGACAGACATAACTGCAATGTAAGTGAAACCAGAACTTTTCATTTTTGTCACGTGAAATATCAACAAAGAAAGCTTCAGAACCTACATGTTAATTCTCCGTCGCCACATTTAACTTAGAATTAGTTTGGGGGAAAATTCCAATTCTCTATTTGATTAAATGTCTTCTTTAACAGCCTGACAGAGTGGAAACGTCAGTATTTTGGAAAAAAAAAAATAATTAAAAAAGGAGAATGTATATATCAGTATATAAAGTTTTATGTATGGCAGAAACATGCATAGGCGCAAACCAACACGCCATTGTAGAGAACAAAGACCCAGGGTATCTCACTGGACTTTCAAACACAAGAGAGCCATCGCCACAAAAGGCTCTCTGTTCCCGCTGAAACACGAACGCCGAACACAAACTGACTGCTCAGTGGGAGCTCAGTGCTGGTCCGAGGGAGGGACAGCTCAACCTTTCCAGAGACTAAAAGTTCCAGCACTGCAGAAACTGAGTACACACACTGATAGAAATGAGGTGACTTACCTGGCATTACGTCACTGATGTGGACGAGTCGAGTGTGCTCCAAACTGGCAAAATTACACACCAGCTTCCCTTCAATCATACCATCCCAGTTCCCTATAGGATTGTCCTAAAAAAGTTGGAGACATAAACACGTTGAAATACTTTCAGATATTCCTCATCAATGCAGCCCTCATGCCCTCGTTGGCAGCACAAGCTTTAATTTCCCTCGTTTCTGATAATGAATCATCTATCACAACCTAACAGAGACGCTTTAGCTTGGTCCTCTCCATTATCATTCTTCAAACTACTTGGCTCCTCTCGACCACTTAAACAGCAGATCTTCCAACGCAGGTCATTCCTTATGAAAGCTCCAAGCAGAGCCTTGCTATTCCTCCTCCTCAGGTTCAAATGTAGGATTCTGTTCCAGGGGACTATCTGGAATAAGGTTAAATCCAGAGCAACTAGCGAGAGAAGGCAGGGCGAGGCTGATCGCACAGTGAGGCAGAGCAGTGGGCTCTCCTCAGCTCCCAGCTGGCCTTTTGCCATGCTGTTGGGTCATACAGCTTCAAGTCTTTACCTCACTCCCCGCGTGACTGCCTTGCCTTTGTGTGGGAGGCTCAGATGCACTGAGTGGGCTGCTGCAGCAGCTGATGTGGCTGCTAACAATCTGTAGTCAAATGCCTCGTTTATATGTTTCAATTTTAACATGAGGACAATGCAACAAGCCGTAGCGTCCAACTAAAAAGAAAAGTCCTTTATAGTCAAAACTTAAGACTAAATGACTTCATCTAGTTTAATAATTCAGCATTGACCCCTTCCCAATACCATAAGATTTTTTTCTTTATATTATTACATGAAATGACGGGATAAGAGCACACAGATCAAAACTAAAGTAAGAACATTAACACGGTTTTAGTTATCTGGAAAGAATACATATAAACCTAACTTTCTTAGGTGTAACAAAAAAAATTAGAACACTATTTGGTATTTTTTAAACAACAGTTATATAAAAATCTTACTTTTTCAGGAGCAAAAACTATTCCACCTGCTTTTAAAATCAATATTAAATCCTCAAATATTTCAGCTATAGTAGTGGGATCCATAACATTTATCATTGCTATTTCATATATATATATATATATATACATACACACACGTTTTTTTTTTTCAATAGAGGTAATTTTCAGATTTTCACTACAATGTATCTAGAAACCACAACCATTAAAAGAATCTGTCAAACTCACCTATCAAAGTTAGGGGGCGGTTATCTAACACCTGATTGGTCACCCTGCACATTAAGGCGAAGCAAATCGATTACAGAGACTCGATTCGCGTTAACCCCGCCCCCTAACTTTGATGGGGAGTTTGACAGATTCTTTTAATGGTTTCGATGCACTGCGACACAGGACCATGAAATAACTAAATGCACACTGAAATAATTATATATTTTTTTCCAATAAAATGAAGACATATTTTATTAAATTAATGACACGTTTATATATTTAATTCCTTATTTATTTAATGAATTACACATTTAATTAATTGTTGATCACTGTATTTATTTATTTAATTGTGGCACTTTATATTAGTGACGTGGTTTTAATTAATGAATGACACATTTATTTATTTTATTCCACATTTACTTAATTATTGACACATTTAATTGTTTATTTAATGCTGTATTTATTTATAAAATTTAGCACTTTTTAATCCTCCATATGGCAGTAGCATCAAGCAATGGGAATTTTTTTTTTTTAGCAACAGGAACTGACAGGTTGGTCAGTTTATAGGGAAGGGAATGCAACAATATAAAGAGATGTCCTGGATGAAAACCTGTTCCAAAAAAACCTTAGTCTCAAAACCCAAAGCATACAGCCAAGATCCTAAAGGATTGACTTAAGAAGCACTTTGTGAATGTCAAAGCCCAGACTGGGATCTTGGTTAAACATCTGGAGAGATCTGAAAATGGCCGCACACTGATGGGTCCTTTTCAACCTTAAGGAGCTTAGGTGCACCACTAAGGGAAACTGCCAGAAGACAGTAGAGCTGGCATCATATTTAAAAACACTTAAAGCCCGAAATCGTTAAGCAAGGGGTGTAAAAGGTTTTTTTTTTTTTTTTTTTTTTTTACTTGTAATAGATTGAATAGTGGAAAAAACTAAAAAAAAATTACATTTCCAAATATTCATAAAAGGTTTTGTGTGTAAAATTTTGAGGAAATAAACGTATTGTATATTATGTTTAATAGTTTAAGTTGAAAGTTTATAACATAACTAAATGAGGAAAAAGAACAGAGTGATGAATGCTTTCTGCAAGCTCTTCAATTGTTGCAAAAATTAATTTCTCTTTTTTGCCATTTTCTCTTTGAGATAAGAGAAAGATATACACAACAAGCAGGGATACAGGCTATATTGTTAGCCCACAAAAAAACAAAACAAAAAACGAAGAACGTCTTGTCAAGGTGTTAAAGCGGCCAGTGAGCAGCCAGGGCTGGATAAATCAATGAACTGATTACCTATCCTTATTAGCGGGTGTAATTCCTTCTATAAAACTGAACCATTTTTACGTCCTCCTTTGAGTATGTGACGAGTTTCAACATGACAATCAGTAAAAAACTTTACCTTAGATCCAACAAATAGTATTTCCCATTTTTATAATTCATATGAATGGAGTTAAAACTTCAACCTCTTTAGGTCAAAAAGAAAACCTTCATTTCAGAACAAATGCATCAAACCAACTGGTGATTTGGGCTTTATTTACAATCACAAATGCTAGACACCTAACTTCTCTTTGCAAGCTATTTGGGAATTACAGAAACTATCATGGCCAAATGCATTTAAAAACATCCAATTTTTATGTTTGAACCCGCCCCTGTCTGGTTTCAAAAACAGCAGGTACAGCATCTAATTGAACTGGAGCCATACTTACCATGTCCACTCCCACATAGTAACCATGGCTCTCATTCCCTGGTAGCAGGTCACAAAATATGACGGTTCCTCTCTCCGGCTCCTCTCTCAGCACCACCCTGGAGTTGATCTCCAGCGGAGGATAGTCCTGGTCGTCCTCCAGTCTGATCTGATTCACCTCCAGCTGGCCCAAACTTTCATTATCATCGTCCTCCCAGAGTTCCAGCTTATCCAAGGCAACAAACACGCCGCACTCTTCCTCACAACGGAAGAGCTGCCGGCCCTGGTAGGAGCCCTCCGTGAAGCCCTGGCCCCGACCCTCCTCCTTGGACACGAGAGGAGAGAGCGGATCAGACATAATTCAGAGATAGGACAAAGCTTAGAGGGAAAGTTGATTTTTTTAAAAAAGGATCAGGCTGTGGATCTTTTATCAATCCTCACCCAAGTTTTTCAACTTTCCTTTTCATGTACACCTCTAATGCGTTTTTGTGAGCTAATGTTGGATTAATTTTTCAGGATCAGCTTCCTTATAAATAGAACTATGCTTAGACTAAAACCAACACTGCGCTGCTATGGTGAAAGCTTGTTTATATTGTTGCAGGACATAAGGTCCAAAGCAAACAGCATCACATCAGGGATTCAGACTTAGTGCCGATATTATTCACAAGTAAATTACACCGGGCTCAGTGGTGGAGGCGGTAGCACTGCTGCCTTGCAGCAAGAAGGTTCTGGGTTTGATTCCCGGCTTGGGGTCTTTCTGCCTGGAGTTTGCATGTTCTGCCTGAGCATGCGTGGGTTCCCTCCAGGGACTCCCACAGTCCAAAAACATTGCTGTTAGGTCAGGATGGATGGATGGATGGATGAATGAATGATACGGTGCAATTATTTGCTTACATTTATGTTAGCCTATACAGTGAATGAAATTATACCTAAAGGATAGAAAAAAAAAAGGAAAAACTCTTCATATTCATTCCACTTTCAGGTAAGGATAGAAAAAGATAGAGATTATATATTTTATGTATGTTAAAAACAGATATTAAGATAAGAAATCCAAACCAATTATCCAGAATTTCTGAAACGCAGTTATTGCTCAGTATTCATAGTCAATATGCACCATGATGATTAAAATGTCTTTTTAGTTGTTTTTTTAGTTTAAGAGGGATACTTTAGAGTTTTTAAAATGAGAATTTGGGAAGCTGTTGTTCCTTCCCATACATATGCCAAATCCTCTTAGGTTTTTAGATATGTGAAGAAATGCTAACCGTTCATCAGAGGAAGCGTCCATTTTAGATCAAATTTTAAACAAAACCAAGTTCGACTGAAAACACCACACATCGCTGCCATGTTTCCTGTCATTGTCTTATGTTGATTTAACCCTGTATGCTGTATTAATCAGCCTGTTCTACTGTGACTCAAAGAGCCGGCCAAATATTCGTTTTTCCAGGTTCATAATCTTTCAGAGATTACAGCAGATCGACAATTGACTACAACGACTGATGTCGGTTACTGATGTCGGCTGAATCTAGGCTAACCTCTGGTTCTAAGGGATAGATTCATTTCATACAGATGTTTGAGCTCAGATTTGGAAACAGTGCTGGGTTTGGAAAAAGAAGAAAAACAGTTTGGACTTTTTTGCTGTGCAAATTACTTTTAGCAACATTGGTGCATAACAATTCCTCTCTGTTTTATACATTCAAACACTAACGACAATGGTCACAAATTGTGCTTTAATAGAACTATGTGTACCTCTGCTTTAATGAGATACAAACTGTCCAAATCACTAATGAGTTATGTTTTCCTGTCTTTTGCAGCATGTTTTATATGCATGGCAGCCATATTCAGTGCTGTAATTAGTGCTGCTCAGTTCCCTCCAACTGACCAATTGGGAATTACCACTTCAAGGGGCATTTGTTTTTTTTGTTTTTTTATTCTTTATTTCTGAAGGCAAATAAAAATACATAATCAAATCTGAGCACAAACAGAACATATTTTTAACTGTCCAGCACCCTAATGCAGCTATTATAACTTCACAGAACCTCGTTTTCAAAACCTGTGTATCCTCTCATAGATGATCACTTAAAAGTCGATTTAACTAAGAAATTTAACAATCTAAGTGATATAATTTAAAATATTATTTTTGCGAATCCTTTATCAATTTGTTGTTTTTTTACCTGCTCTTCTGCAATGTTTTATAAATTAGCAGTAAGTAATGCTTAATTAAATTATATTATTCTGTGCAATGAAGCAAATTATCTTGCATTATTACATTCTAATATACAGAAATTAATTGATAAAGTTAATGCTAGGTGTGTTACTGAGAAATAAAAAACAAATATATAGATAAGAGTAGGTAACAAAATACTACTGTGAGGAAATTAATACATATAAGCAAGGTTCTACTTTCGCTAATCTAAAAATATACCACTGACAGTAACAAAACAACATTATTTTCTGTCAATGAGGCTCAGTTCTTTTTGCATCTAATTTTGTTGAACATCTGAGCAGCTTCTATGGTTATAAAAAATATTTACATATTTCTTATACATTCATGTTGAAGTAACTGGAAGCTTACAAGTTATTTTCACCCCTATATAATCTATGTTATTCAAAAAGTCTTTAATTTGTTATTGTTTTTTTGATTAGTAATGAAACTGCTATAGAAATCCTAATCCTCACCAGGAGCTCGACGCCAAACCAGATTCCGGAGAGGGCTCGGTCAGGAAGCAGCGAGCCTTTGAAACGCACCACTCCAGGTAGAGGTTCATCCCCCGAGCGCAGCTGGACGCGCACCTTGGAGCCACAGTCGATGTCTCGAACGCGTTCGAGCCGTTCCTCGTCAGAGAGCAAGTTGTATCGCTCCTCACAGTTGGTGATGGGGAAAAGCAGCTCAGCCAGCTTCTCGTCCAGCTCCACCACGTCCCGCTCATCTAGGCTCAGCACCACGTTGGTCTGGTCCAGGATACGGAGGCTCTTCTTGCCCTTGCATGGGGGAAGCGTTCGGCCCAGGCTGTTGCGCTCCTGGCAGGCCTGGCCGAGGCTACCACGGGGAATCCTCAGGGTCTTTTGGGTAGGCTTCTCCACAGAGCATTCCTTCACAACCATGTAGAAGCGCCAGTCCTCCCTGAAGCCCCCGCTAGCCTTGTCCCCGCTCCACAGGGCAGAGCTCATAGCTGCATGGCAGACTGGAGGCCAAGCGCCAAGACAAGCTTGACTGATGGTCTAAAATAACAGTCAAAGAGGATAATTTAATAATAAGCAGAACAGACAACAATATCTACTTAAATGCTTGAAGAAAAAAAAGCTGAAGTTAAAGTTACCAGGAAAACTCTCACTTTTAAAAAACAAGCAATGCTCTTTAATCTGCATGAAAGGAATAAAACTGGATGGGTGGATGCACTGTCTGCAAAGCTGCAGCATTCTGCAGTTTTGAAAAAAAAAAAAGGGTTTATGATACCACAAAGATTCAGAGCATTATATAACGCAAACAACACATACAACATGAGTAGGAGCTGTTGTTTCCGTTTTGACAGGGCAGAAACACACGAGTACAGATTGTTTAATAAGAAAATTACTAAGGAGCATTACTGGATACTAGATATTCTGTCATATCTAATGGGTACAGACTATGTCATGGTCAAGGAACTGCATTTAAAACCGGATTACACCCACCAGCCTTTTTTATAAAGAACCCAATGATCTGCTTGTTTAGACAAATAGCAGAAACCTTACAAAAATTTTTAGTTTTTCTTAACATCTCGATTAGGTCACCCTACTAATGGCCTACCAATGACCTCCATACCTTTGGGAGATAAAAATAAAAAAACAGACATTCGCATTAAGGATTTGCAGCTGTTATATCTAAAACAACAATTGTCTGACATCTTTCATAAGAATTAAGGGTGGTTTTGAAGGCAAAAGGATCATCAACCCAGTACACAAAATTTTTCCCATTACAGTGGCTGGTGCACTACAAAAACTGTAAATCTAAATAAGTCAGTTTTTCTTAAAATATGTGCATTTTTTCTTGAATTGAGGAGGTAAGTGAAACACTTTGCCAATGGAACAAGACAATTTACATTTAAAATAAGAATAAATAATTTCATTGTTTTATTTCAAGTGCATATTATCTAATCATCTTATTTTAAGCATAAAAATAGTCATTCCATTGGCAAATCATTTTATTTACCTACTCTAATTAAGGGTAAATACACTTAATTGAAGAGGTTTTTTGTTTAGTTTCTCGATCTTTTTTGTAGTGTGATCACATATTTATGAAATAGTTCTCATTGGTAAATGGTGAAGCAGAGCCATCCGTGAGTTGATGTTCTGCTTTCAGGAGCACCTCGTGTGTAATTACTCAAATCTACACATTTGAAAGTGCTAAAAATAGATAAGGAGCAGACAGTGGATTTTTTTTGTCTGCCACGCATGACAGGACGAGCATCAGCATGGTGGATTTCCCCTAATCACGTCTCAGATGTGACGGTGTTGAGCATATCTGATGCACCGCATCCGTCATTGGTCGCAAGGATGACAGCAAAGACTACTTTAAAACAAAAATGTTTACTAAGCACGTTTTTGTTTACAAGATTCAACACAACATCTGGACCGATCCTTAACTTACTATTGATCTGCAATGCACAGGGTTGAAATAAGACAATGTTGCAATTTAAGATATTTTTAACCTGGTAGAAAAGTGCACGCGCTCGCTCTTATGGCATTAATGTGTGTTGTCCATCATAAAGACCCAAAATTCACATTGGATTTAACTTAACATGTTCTTTGACATACTATGCAGGAGTGTATCACCAGGCAGAAACTGTCAGTTAAAGCCCCTCCACCCCTTTCTGAGAGGGAAATAGCTAAAATGCACCAAACAGTCATTCATAGCCAATGCAAGCGGCGCAGACGACTTACCTTCGAGACGAGGCAGGTCACTCAGAGGCTACTGGTGACTGACAGATCATCTCATGCGCTCATCACAGTTAAAAAGCGGCTTTTAAAGGCATGATAAATTCTCCCTGTTGTAACCTGTGTTAGCTCAGCCGCTAGCTAGCTATCGCTAGCGTTCAAAACAGCTGAGTGTCAGGCTAACGTTAGCCGTGGCGACAGCTAATTCTACGGTCAGAGGGCTGCCACTACTGAAATGAACAAGAAGCATTTAAATATTTGTTCCACATTAGGGGGAAAAAACGAAACAATACGCTATAACGCAGCTTACATAGTCTACATTTATTATTTACAGGAGACGACCTCACCGTTGGTATGGCATTACGTCACAGTATTCTCTATAGACATTGGCCATTCACTATTGTTTCTTGGCGCTGATTGGTTACTTTTGTATGTGTAAGGCAGGCCTATTGTGAGGGGTTTTCCCACTAGGAAAACATAGTTAGGTTGAAGCGCACACACACTCCGACACCCAACTCCCTCCCTCCACACACACACACACACACACACACACACACATTTAGCTCACTGCAAAATTAAATTATTTAATATGAAACTTTAAATCTGAAATAAAATTGTAATAAAGCAGGAGCTAAATTAGTATACTAATTGATTTTTTTATTTTTTTATAGCACATAAACCTGTCATAAGTCTTTATTTGTAGTGTAGAGTAATAATTAAGCCAAATCCTGATGTCTTGAAACATTTTGTTGTCATAACCTATTATATTATTGCAGCTATTCAAACAAAAAGATAAAAAAAAAAATAGGCTACCTTGTATTATTTATTTTTCAACAAACATTATTGGCTTTTGTGGTAACAACATGATGAAATATGTATAATTTCTGTTAAAAGGATGTTAAATAATCCATAATACTTAAATGTTAATTTTTTATGAATGTTTACTATATGGTTACTATCGTGCAGATGAAGCTTTTTATTGTAAACATGATGTTATTGTTATACAATAAAAACAAATCAAAGTTCAATATATTAAGACTAATATGGCTATGCCCAAATATTAATAAAAAATGCCTACTGATGCAAAACATTTTTTTTAAATAATATAAACAGTGAACAGGACTTACAAAAAGTCAGTGTGGCATTTTTTCTAAGATAAAAATATGATCGTGCTGCCATTGAAAAATCTATTGCCTACAATAAAATATAGATATGAAATATTATTCAGCATGAAAAGCACTTCTCAATGAAAAAAAAATATGCATATTGCAGGAAGATAGCTTAAATAGCTTGGCTGTTGAACGTGATAAAAATAGAGGAAAATCTAGTCTAACCAGGTTTCTTGTTCTCTAAAAATGGCCTGCTCTATTTTTAGTTCTTGAATGTTAATAAATGTTGTGACATGTCACGGTTGAAAAATAAATATTTATTGTCTTTGCACATTAGAGAGAAAATGACAGTAACATTCTTTTCCGGCAAGTGTAACTCTACATGCAAATATACTAAAACAATAAAAATGAAAGAATAAAAAGCAAATACAATTTCAAATACACAGTGTTTACATTATCCCATCAAGAAGTATATATATATATATATATATATATATATATATATATATATATATATATATATATATATATATATATATATATATATATATATATATATTTGTTACAACAATGCAAAAAGCTATTTCCCAGAGTGACAGGATATCAAACTCAGAAAACCAGTCTTGATTCAGTCTTCTGCAGTTTTTCAACCTCTGCTGAACTGAGGTCATTGTTTTTCAACCTGATCAGAAAAAGAGGAGAGTTGAATTAATCATCAACAAATTCTATTGAATTAAGTGTTTATAGCCAGACTAAACTGGATTATTGAAGTTCTAAATGTTACTAACTCTTACATTATACTGGTGTTTGATCTTATTTCTGTATGAATGGTCTTATACAGCACTTCATTAATTTCTAGTACCCTACATTGCTTTTCACTGCATTCCATCATTCACCCATTCGTGCACACATTCCCACACTGATAATGGTAAGCTACATAGATAAGGTTGATAAGGTTGAATCTCTATTGATATATTACATTAGAAAGACCCGCCCTACAACGGCGCCAATGAGCCTTCTAACTACCAATAGCAGGCACGGAGCATGAAGTGTCCCAATGACACAACAACAAAAGACACACATACAAAGCAGGGACTCAAACTAGCAACCAATTTGTTACAGGACAAATCCGTCCCTATTATTCCTTTCACCAGAGCCATTGTTGCCCAAGTAATGATGTAGAATGCTTCCCCAAACCACTCATGCTGGTTCAGTTTTTACAATTTTCCAGGTATCCACCCACACGCTTGGGTTAATTCTAATGAGACACTCAGTGAGGGCCTTTTGTCTTTTAATTATTTTTCCAAACGTATTCACAGACTCCTAAAATCACTTCTATGGCCACATGCATAGAACATTTAGAACCCTCACAGGAATAAGATTTACTAATTGATCAAATTTTTTGTTGATATAATTTATTAGGAACAAAATCAAATTAGCGACAAAGTGTTAGGTCAGTTCTAATCACAGAGGTGGTTCAATTAATAGAGAGGAAAATAGTTTTCAAAGGCTTATTCTACTTTATGTAGAAAAGCTGCTAGACCACCAAATCCCATGCTGCCTTTAGATGAGTTCAAAAACAGTGCATAAAGATCTTAATAGAAGCCATTTCCAATGGACATCACCATCACCAAGTAACATGCAATGGATGGGCACTGATATAAAGGGTTTTGCTACTGGATTATAAAGCAGTAAGTTGAAACCTGTTCTCTAGAGTAATTAATTCTCTCCCTCTGTGTATTAATCCAGACTTGGTTTCGAAAATACCATTTGAACAGATTTATTTCAGACTGGTTTTGATAAATGGATGTGCCCAGTTTCACTTAAAGAGCGCTCAATGCCTTAATCTACCAAAACATTTCAGATAATTTTATGACCCTAACATTGTAGGAACATTTTTGGGAATTTTCCCATCCTTATTCCAACATGACTGTGATAAAATACACAAAGCAAGGCAATAAAGACATAGGCTTCCAATGCAATCAGTAAGCACTGTAGCCAAAACAGAAGTGCATCAGTGGTAGCCATGATAGGTGTTGCCTTAATAGCATTTGTAAGGACGGAGGTAGGAAGCGGAAGCAGGATGCTTCTTCAATTTATTTACCATAGGGACTTCCTGACAATCCTACTTGGTGCAAAGGAGCTATAACGATTGGCAAAATATTTTGAGAGACAGACCTTATAAGGACAACTTTCCTAGCGGAAATGACTTAAGCTGGTGAAGATTCTCAGTCATCCAGGTCATAGTCATTCCAAAAAAAAGTTTAAAAAAAAATAAATAAAAAAAACGTCTGGACTTTGTTTTCCAAGTTTGAAGGCGTTTCGCTTCCCATCGAGGAAGCTTTCTTAATTCAAAAATGTCTGGAGTAGCGCTCGAGTTCCAGGCAATTAGAGTGGCCTAAACAACTTAATTTCTTTAACTTTTTTAAACTTTTTTCGAATAGCAGAAATGAACAACAACAAAAAAAACAACAAGTGTACTGCTTCAGGTGTAGTGTGTGTAATGCATGCAAAGGTACACACCATCATATATTTTGGATTGTGTGATTGGGGTTTTTTTTTTTAGTTCTTTTTGGAAAGTTGTAGTCCTAATTGGACAAAGATCTTTCTACAATGTCTGCCTTTTAACTGTGCTACATGCCTACCATGGTTAACATGGGTAACAGGGAATTATAAGGGGTTTTTTTTCTGGAGAGGGAACCTGAGAAACGGCTACCAGATCCATGGAAGGCATCAGCCACACAAAAAGGATGAAATGCTTGTGTGTTTCCGTCCTATAATGGCAGATTCCGCAGAGCAGGCCAGAGTTCTTTTCCTACCCACAATAGTGTCTTTACCGTTGATTGTGCAAAAGGTGAAGGAACAGGGGCTAGGAACAGGGGATAGGAGGCAGGGGCTACAATTTCATGTATTCATAATCATTCTTGTGCTACAACTCTGGTCTAACCACAGCACTTTTAGGATGAATTAGAATATACACTCACCGGCCACTTTATTAGGTACACCTGTCCAACTGCTCGTTAACACTTAATTTCTAAGCAGCCAATCACATGGCGGCAACTCAGTGCATTTAGGCATGTAGACATGGTCAAGACAATCTCCTGCAGTTCAAACCGAGCATCAGTATGGGGAAGAAAGGTGATTTGAGTGACTTTGAACGTGGCATGATTGTTGGTGCCAGAAGGGCTGGTCTGAGTATTTCAGAAACTGCTGATCTACTGGGATTTTCACGCACAACCATCTCTAGGGTTTACAGAGAATGGTCCGAAAAAAAAAAAACATCCAGTGAGCGGCAGTTCTGTGGGCAAAAATTCCTCGTTGATGCCAGATGTCAGAGGACAATGGCCAGACTGGTTCGAGCTGATAGAAGGGCAACAGTGACTCAAATAACCACCCGTTACAACCAAGGTGGGCAGAAGAGCATCTCTGAATGCACAGTACGTTGAACTTTGAGGCAGATGGGCTACAGCAGCAGAAGACCACACCGGGTGCCACTCCTTTCAGCTAAGAACAGGAAACTGAGGCTACAATTAGCACAAGCTTATCAAAATTGGACAATACAAGATTGGGAAAACGTTGCCTGGTCTGATGAGTCTCGATTTCTGCTGCGACATTCGGATGGTAGTGTCAGAATTTGGCGTCTACAACATGAAAGCATGAATCCATCCTGCCTTGTATCAACGGTTCAGGCTGGTGGTGGTGATGTCATGGTGTGGGGAATATTTTCTTGGCACTCTTTGGGCCCCTTGGTACCAATTGAGCATCGTTGCAATGCCACAGCCTACCTGAATATTGTTGCTGACCATGTCCATCCCTTTATGACCACAATGTACCCAACTTCTGATGGCTACTTTCAGCAGGATAATGCGCCATGTCATAAAGCTGGAATCATCTCAGACTGGTTTCTTGAACATGACAATGAGTTCACTGTACTCAAATGGCCTCCACAGTCACCAGATCTCAATCCAATAGAGCATCTTTGGGATGTGGTGGAACGGGAGATTCGTATCATGGATGTGCAGCCGACAAATCTGCGGCAACTGTGTGATGCCATCATGTCAATATGGACCAAACTCCCTGAGGAATGCTTCCAGCACCTTGTTGAATCTATGCCACGAAGAATTGAGGCAGTTCTGAAGGCAAAAGGGGGTCCAACCCGTTACTAGCATGGGGTACCTAATAAAGTGGCCGGTGAGTGTATACTGCAAAGCTAGGCCGTCAAGGCCTGACCTCAAAAATGCACCTCTGATCAAAAACACTCTT